GGAGCAAAGTGCCAAAAAGGCCATGTTTCCACCACACACCAAGCCTGAGACGCTGGCTGGAAAAAGAAAGGGCGTGAACCTTGCTATATAGAGCAGTCTATGCATTTGACGGGAATTTTGTTACTCCGCGACTGAACAGTGTTCTAGGGGTGCTATTGTTTGATTGATGTTTATTGCCATTGGCCGCCGGGTGAGCTTGGCTCAGCGGGTTTTTAGCGCTCACAGTTGAGTCTTTGCTGCACGTTTCACATTTTAGACAAGGCGATGTTCTGCTGCTGCGTCCAGGAGAGCGGAGATTCAGTGGTCGAAGAGGTCACGGTGAAGACTGTGGCCGTTTTGCCACCGGACCATTCCCCAGACTTTGGGACCTTCACGTTGAGCATTCCTACGGCAGATTTCCTTTCTTTGGGGCTTGACTTGGATGTGACTTCAGACACCCGACCCATGATCAAGGAAGTGAGGCTGGGTGCCGTGTCGAGTTTCAACGATGCGAACCCCACGCAAGCCATCAAGCCCTATGATGTGATCCTGGCCCTTGACGGAGCAGAAAGTGCCACTCAGATCTCTGAGACAATGACCCGCAAGCTCCGCGACTTGGTGACCATCAAGTTGAGTCGACCCCGGAAGCATCAGGTGCAACTGGAGAAGGCGAGGGTCGCTGAAAGAATAGGCAGAATAATTTGGTGATTTCTTCGTTGGGGATTACCAGTGAGGGGCAGAGAGTACGTGCATATATGCGCCATATCGCTGGCATGCGTGTCCAACAAACACTCCCAAAGAGACCTTTCTATCCACTCATCAGCCTTTGCAATTTTTCTTCGAAAAAAGAGGAGGAAGCCTCGATCCCACAAATCCTCTTTTGCATGGATCTGAGAACCCGAGGTGGGCAACCTTGGGATGAAGTTGGAATACTGCAGCAATTCTGCCGGCGCAGTGATCCAAGAAGTGGCTTCCAGTGGCTTGTTGGCCAAATGGAACCGCTCCCATCCCAAGGACGAGATCCAGCCAGGCGATCGCACCCTCAAGGTCAACGGAATGAAATGCGCCGGACCTGACATGGTTGAGGCAGGAAGTGAAAACATCCGTCAGAGCGGCGATATGTTGTTTCAAAGTCTCACCTCTGGTGTTGTGATGTTTTATTATTTTTTGGGCAGCAGGTCGGCAAGGCTGGTCTTATAAAGTCGTAGAGGCCAATTTGTTGGTGGTTGTAGACTCAGTTGCAAAGGCCTTTTTGAGCTGAACGCAGAGGGTTGGTGCGAGTGGCACAGGCTGGGTTCTCACAAACCAACACTCACACCCTGGAGGTCATCAAGTCAGAACGCAAGCTGGATTTCACGGTGCTCAAGTACTGAGAGTTTTGAGGCATTCTTTAACTTGATTGAATTTCTCAACTCCCAAAGCACAGCATCTCGAAGAAAATGCCAGGTGCCTGCTTTTGCCTGGCATGCAAACCTTCACTTTTTCAATTTTGCCTCATGCAAATTTCCAAGGAATCATGAGAGCATTTTCGCAGTACGACTGGTGTGCTGCGGTAGACCGCCAATCTCTGACTGTGAGAAGGCAGAAAAATGGGCGCCAATTCCTTGCATCATTCCGCCGGAAGCAACTGTGAACAGTCTACAGAGGATTGATGTTGCGACATGATGCGACATCAGTCGGGGTTGAGTGGAGTGCCGAGGTCTGATGGAGTATGGCTACCGGCCACCTCGCCCCACGTCCACGGCAAGCTCCATGGCATGATTAAGGGTGGGCACTTGTAGATAGGTTGAGATTGCAGAACCCAGGACCCAGAGGCCACAAGCTGTAACAGACCGGAGTCCACACTGTTGCATAAAACTCAACCCTTTGCATGCGTTGACCCTTGTGCAACTTCGCCGCACATCCACCATGATACCAATGAAGGAGGAGGAAGCCGGAGGACTCATCATGGTGAGAGAGCGCCCAGGAGCCCAACATGCATGCATACATACAGACAGACAGACAGACAGACAGCCAGGCAGACAGACAGACAGACAGCCAGACAGCCAGACAGCCAGACAGCCAGCCAGCCAGCCAGGCAGGCAGCCAGCCAGCCAGGCAGGCAGGCAGGCAGACAGACAGACAGACATACAGACAGACAGACAGACAGACAGACATCCACACATGCACATACACACACATACACACACACACATACTCATACACACACACACATACATACATACATACATACATACATGGCTCAAGGCTCAAGCCGTGAGCACTCAAGGTGGCACCCCATAAAGCCCACCTAGTGCGGATCCCCACTTGCCACATAGTGCGGGACTTTGACACTCAGCACGGCCCATCGAGAAGTCCAACTAGAACACGTTCTTTGCTCGCTATCCTCGACCTCAACCTGCACACCCCTGTCGAGCTCTACGGTGACCGGCAGGTCTCGCCTGGCTACATCCCTGTGATTTCCCGGGTGATTGGCCCTTCTCACTGAGGAGACCACAGGCCTGATCACGATCGGTGCCACCCAGTTTGCCTACCTGACTGCGTATCACTAGGCCCTAGGCCACAAAGCAGCTCTTTCTCAGGGACTATGACGCCTCAATGGGGTCGAGCCTACATGACCTGTTCCAAGCATGGCTGCAACAACTGGATTTGGACCGATCGAGTGAAGACAGGCACCAAATGCCGCAGACGCGGCACATGGTCACATGGTGGCCAAATCCAGCAGCTGGTACAGGGAAAGGCAAAGGGTATGGACGCCCTGCCTCCAGGACCACGCCCCATCAGCAATGGTTGGACACTCCACCTGGCCTTACGAAGTTCAAACCCCTCAAGAAAACCAAGATGCAACAAGAGGCCACAGACCCGGTCCGTCCTACCCGAGGACACCCAGGCCAAGCTTCAGGCTCTTGGCATTGGCCCTAGCAAACCCGACGAACCTGAGCTGACAGACATCCTGAAGACCCACATGGATGCACTGCCGCCTCAAGTCCAACAGATCGTCACCAAGCTCACGGCGCCAGAACCCTGCGCAGAACGCGAGATTGCCACCAAGCTCAAAGGACAAGTGACGGAGTTGAAAGCTATGTCCACCCGCAAGAACCAGCTACAGGAGAAAATTGATGGCGTCAAGGCTCAATATGCCTCACTGCTCACAGACATGCAAGACCTCCAGAGCAAACTTGCCGATGGTCAAAAGGCTTTACATCAGCTCTCACAAGACTACATGAAGGCCATCAACCAAACTCCAGCACCAGCTGAACTGGCAACAGGCTCACCGGAACCCGAGCAAATCCCCATGGCAGTAGAATCTTCTGTACACAGTCTGGGCATCTCGCTCACAGAAGAGCAAAAGAGCCAGTTGCATGGCCTCCTCAAGCGGCCAAACCTGGACCCAGACGATCCCACGAAGCGCAGGAAAACAGATGGCACTGCAGCACCACCACCAGGACATTGTGGGTAACAGGGACAGCCATGCCATGCTGACGGGGTGGACTTTTCCGTTACCGGAAGATGACACATGGTCATGTGATGGAACCTTGCTGATGTTTAGCGGTTGCTCTGGTTGCTCTTGACAGATTGCCAACTTTGACAGATGTCCTTGGAAACATGAAAGCATGTTTCAGGTGATGATGCTTTCCTGTTCACATTCGATATTATAAAAATCAACACGCACTTGGTCAATGACATTTTTGGAACCCAAACTGGAGTTCAATGTTTTAATTGATTTTGCCATTGGTCCTCAATTCACCATTTTTTGGCTTCTGACCAGCTTTTGAACCATTGATTTGACAGTCCGCTTTTCAAAACTTAAAAAAACACGTTGATAAATAAGAACTAATAGAAAAAATAAACCTTTTTAGCGACCATTTGGAAGAATTGTGTTGCGATTTGTTCTTTTGGTGCCACCGATCGTCGAGTTCAGTTGTTTAAAGTGTAGGCTGCAAAGATGCAAACGCGGGTAAGAATCATTTCAAGGAGCAGGCTCAGATGTTGCAGACATGTGCATCTACCGCTGCCTCTTTTAACTTGTTGGTTTTCCAAGCATATTACTTAAAAACACACAATTGGATTATATTCTAGTTGTTGCCTTTAAAATCCTTGGCATTAACTAGTTTTTATGCAGCATCCGGATTGAATTGTATTGCCATGAGCCATGGCTTGGCTGGATCGCTGCTGATCATGCTGTGATTCATCGCTGCCGTCTTCGCATGATCATGATCGTCGTGATTTTTGGACTCTGGCCCTGGCTTGCCCAGATTAGCTTCAGGTGATTCTGTGGTCTCAGGCCCTGGCTTGCCCAAATTGGTCCGGGTGATTCTGTGGTTACTGGCCCGGGCTTGCCCGACTCAGCATCGGGTGATTCAGGGGCCCTGACCCAGCCTTGCCCGGATCGATATGGGTGATTCAGAGGCCTTTGGCCCAGATTTGCCTGAATCTTTCAGGGTGATTCAGTGGCTAAGTTTGCCGTTGCAATTCTAAATGTTTTGAGTCTGAGTCATTTTTGTGAGCAGCTAGCATTTAACAGGAAATCAGTGATCTTGAATTGCATCTTATTTAGGCCCAATCTTCTCATTATACTGGGCTTCGCTCACAAGCTAGTGTGTATGTGCGTTCAGAAATAGTGGCATTGGCACGCGCTGTATCCTGGTTTGAAAAGTTGTGTGTTTGCGGTGTGTTTCCAAAAGCTTTTATCAATTGATGCCGCCGCAGCAATTTCCCTGCATCACCGAAGCCTATTGAGGCCCAAATTTGCCAACGTGAGTATACGAAAAGATTCGTATTTGAGAACTTACATCGACGATGATTCTTGTTGGAAATTACAGTCATACACTCTGCTAATTATTGACAAGTTGCATTTAAGGATTGAAAGCTTTCAGTGAATTTTGGGAGGGGTTTAGGAACAAACAGTTATAATGCGCCTAGCTTTTTCGGTACAACCTAGGCACATGTGCCTAACAATGGGGCTATAAGTGCCTATAGTTTTTGGGAAGGCCTTAGGAACAAGGAGTTATATGTGCCTAGCTTTTTAGGCACAACCTAGGCACATGTGCCGAACAATGAGATTATGTGCCTAGCTTGTGCCTAACAGGGAGGGATCATCAAGGGTTTCTTGCAGGATAAGAGTTCAAAGTTGGCAAACTACCATCATCTTTGTCCTCCTCGTCGCGATGGACCTTGATTCCCTCGACTTCGACAAGGTCGCTGACGAAAGGGTGGCCGGATCTGACGCTGATGATGTCTATGACGAGGAGGAAACGGCAAAGAGTAAGAAACAGAAGTCCAAGCTCAAGCCCATCAAGACGATGGGTGTCACGAACGAGACGGCTGAGCTCCGGAAGAAGTTCAAAGAACTTTGGATCCGGAGGCGCAAAGCCTGGGAAAGCAAGTTTTTGGTTGGCAGTTGCTTGCCCAAAGACTTTGTGTACCCTACTGCTGCCTCCGAGAAGATGGCCAAGCAGTCATGGATACTGGGGACAAAGAAGGGGTGCGGATGCTTACCATGCAATAAGGCAAATACTATGAGCGAATGGGCATTGGGAACTGCTGGTCTAGTGGACAAGTTTCGCGCGTGGTACTTGACCAAGCACCAAGAATCGCAACATGGCGGCTTGCAAGAAGTTCCTTGGCATTAGCGAAAGTTATGAATGTGGCCCTTCCCTCTCCGAGTTTGAGGACCTGTTCAAGAAGCTGCAGCAAGGATCGTCGCTACGAGGAGACATGTCACAAAAATTGCTTTTTGATATTTCGATGATTTTGTCCGTTGACAAATTTTGACTTAAATTATAATGGTTCCAATCAGATGCAATGCTTGTCAGCCGAGGTTGTTTGGATGGCCAACGCTCAGACAAAGTCTCCTTGATGGCCTGGTGCCTGAACGAAACCATCATTCAGAAGGATAGGGACTTTCTACGAAAATGCCCCACGATTTCCATAGCCCGCGATGGGAGACGCCAAAGACTCCTGGTGCGCTTCGGAGGTGTTACGGATCCTGGGATTTAAAAGTCATGTTGCTGTTAATTTTAAATTTGCTTTCAGGGAACTCGGCTACTTTCGGGGAACTCGGCTACTGAGGACTCATTTCAGATCGGCTATGGCATCATCGGCATGATCAGAGGCTATGGTGAAAGCACAGGAGACATCGTTATTTGGTTGCACAATGGTTGAGCTCTGTTTCTGTAATTATTTGATTTGTTGTGTGTGTGTGTGTGTTTCTTTGTCTTGTTGCTTCCTTTGCACTGTTCCTTCTCATTATTACTCAAGTGCCTTTGCGTTTATATACTTATTGTTGTTCGTCGTCATTGTATCTTTCAAAGTAAACAGTTGAGGCCAGGGGGACACGCGCGGTGCTGCAGAACTTTTGCACCAAGTTCCAGAACCCACCCAGGCGGTATGAGGGACCGACTCCTGAGCTGGATACAGACCTTTATCAACAGAGAGTCTATTGAAGTGGTTCTCTCTGATTCCGCGGCAAATGAGATTGCGGCTAGCAATGTGAACCGCGGGCGTCGCGCCCTTCAGATTGAAAGTGATACTGCAGATACACTCTTGCCCAATCTGAAGTTAGTAGCTCGTGATCACGCTCATTCCTTCAGGCATGTTCTGCAAAGACCTTTCAAATCATCGGATTACTTATGCCAGTTGATGGATAACAACGTGCTCCATGGCAACTCGATTGTGAGGGTGATCGATGGAAGCTTCGTCTTTCGGCAGTGGTTTGAAATTGAAGTGGGGAAGATGGGTGGCACA